CACCAAGCAAGCCGTGCGGAAGCGAGGTGTGCACGTCATCAGCGAAGGCACAACTCGAAACCTTGTGAGCGATCAAGAGAGGGTACCCCAAACGGGAAAATTGAAGCAGCGCAGCGAGGCACCCAAGCAGTGAGGAGGACCTGTGCGAGTGGCCATCGGCGCCTTCCCGTCCACATCACGGACAGCTGCAGACCTTGCAGATCAGCAGCATCGACGATGCTCACGAAAGCGACAGCGTAACCGCGACTGCATCCCCGATTACGGTTGCGACGACCACAAACACCTATGGGCAAAGCCCTCACGCGGCGAGCAGCACCACGAGCGACGAAAGCAGCATTCTGACGCAGTCAACTCTGCTTGCGGCGCCCGTACATGGCTGGGCAACAGCAGCACGCAACAGTGCAGCGCCTCAACAGGACACACACAAATCCAGACATTCGCATGCAGCAGTGGGCAAGCACATGCTCCGTGTAGTGTTTGCACGCACAGTGCTAGGGTTGCACACGCAGGGGGCCATGACCAGCCCACAGACCAACGCTGCCAAGCAAGTAGCACCAGGCGTGCCCAACCCGCAAACCGCACCTCTGCGCACTGTTCAGCCAGGTGCATGCGTGCGCGGCCCAACTCGGATCCTGCGGCTGTCATGTGCACCAACTCCCCACCCACCCCACCACCCCGCCTGTCGGCGCGCCGCTGGAGCAGCGAGCCCACTTAACGAGCGGGAGGCGCAGTAACGCTTGGTTGCCCCGCGAATCTGCTCTATTGGGCTGGGGGAGCAGCAATTCCTGAATGGAGCAGGTTGGCTGATGCAGTGGCAGGGAATGCCCGATCGTGTCTTGCAAATCGTCGATTTCCTGTGTATTTCATGCTTTGTGGCGGAGATTGCTGCTGCGGGCTGCACGCTGATTACAGTACGGCAAAGGGCCGCTCGCTAAAATCGCCACGAATCGCATCGCGAGGTTGGGGCGGCAATCGTGATCGGCCACAATCGCATCACCGTGTGACCGACCTCTTAGCAACTTCCTCCGCGCTTGGGGCTGTAGGTGCTACCAAGATCACGCAGGCTGGGTCTGCGCGGGCAGGCATCGCCCCCAGTGGCAACAATTAGGGTGAGCGCAGACTTCGCTGGGCTGTGCACTGCTTGGGTCCTGGCGGTGTCGCCATTACGCTGATGACGGGCTGGGAGCAGACAACGGGCACACGAATAGGGCTGGGCCTCCTTCGAGCTTTCGACAAGAATCCTGGCATCCGTGTCCTGCGCTGCAGCCTTCTCTGGAGGAGGCTGAGGGGTGCCTAGCTTGTGTTAGGTGCGTGCAGGCTGGGGGGCCTTGCTTCGCACAGCTGACGCACAACCAGTGCACGACTGCCAGCTGAGACACAGTGCCTGCTGAGAGATGCAGGACTGTCCTCAGCCTGATGCTGGCTCCACTGCCATGCTGGTTACGATGCCAGGTCAAACGTTCATGCATGTGTGTGCTGCCCGCCACAGGTTGCTCACGGTAGCGTGCGCAGGCTCGGCCCAGTCCCCATGGCCTCGACGTCTGCAAGGCAACAGCTGGTGCAGGCGCTGCCTCAGCTCTTTGCTGACCAGGTTCCAGAGTTTCGTGGCATCGCGGCACTGGAAATCAACCAGTTGCACGACGACGTGGCTGCTGGTCTGTTGAACGTGCCGGAGGAGGACAGGAGGGCAGCCATCATGGCGGCTGTCTGTCGTGGTGGGCGGGGGTTTTGTGTTCTGGCGACCCGGTGCGGCAATCGGGGAGTGTGTTTATGCAATGAGTTGCCATGGTGGTGCTTTGAGGCAGTTGGAGGTGGTTGCCGCTGTGGTGGGGCCGGACCATATTGAGCATGCGCTCGGCAGCGACATGGAGGTTTTGTCTCAGTCTTGTGGGTCTCCCGGGGGATGCTGGCGCCTGGGCGCAGTGTGTTGCTGGTTGCTGCTTCTGACCTGCACAGGAATTATCGGCGCTTGGAATACGCATGCATGCACACGGAAGCCCGCGCTGTGAAGCCCTTGAGGGTGCTAAGTGGCAGTTGCAGGTGGTTCCAGTGGTGCCGCTGTGGTGCCAAGAGAGTGCAACATGTTCACACGTGCTCGACAGCCGCCGCTGCTGTTCATCTCTTCCCCATGCTGCTCTCCTCCCCGCATGGTACGCACTACGACCTGCTGGCTCCTCTCCTCATGCTCGCATGGTATCCTCAATCCCGTCACTGCTGTCCGTGCCCTGCAGGTGAGGCGTACAGTTTGCAATCCATCATATAGTTTGCTGGCTCTGCCATGCATGGAGCCTGCTTTCCAGGCTGCCACTGTGAGTGCAGCGTATGAGTGCGCTTTGTTTTTACCACCCAAATGCCGGTGCTG